AATTATTTACTAGTATGACCAAGTAGAAGACAATCTTGTACAAAAAATAAAGCTCCCTTTGAAAATCTACTCCGCCGAATCACCCATTCTTCTTTATTTAAAAAGTTTTTGTATTTGATTGATTCAGCGGTGGTTTGATCGGAGAGAATAAGATTGAAGCCCTAAGAGCTGACCGCACAATAAAATATTATTTCCATCCACCTAAGATTTGTGATGGTACAAATTGTGGGGAAAATGACCCTGGTTGAGTTTATATATTAGTGGGGTATAGCCATCTCGATCACCTGTATTCCATTAGTCCCATTTAGTAGTGATGTTGCATGAGCGATTTTCTGGATCTCAAAATAGAAAACATGTTTCCTATAAATAGTGCGTTAACGAAAGTATAAAACAGTTTTTCAGACTCTCAATAAGTCAATCAAAAACAGGCATACAGAAAAGGAAAGAAACTAGAGCACCAAGAGTTCACAGAGCGCTGAAATGTTGAAGTGCTTACAAATTGAGCATGTTCACACAACGAAACAAACAATAGAATTACAATTTATATAAATCCAAAAAATGTAAATCCATATTAAGATGTTGTTCAGTTATTTCTTCTGACAACTTCAACACGTAACCTGCCACCGACAAATTCGCAGATGCATGTGTCCTCTGCACTTACAAAGTTCACGGCACAGAGACTTTTCCAGCCTCCTCTGTACCATACACGGTCATCCTTCCATCTTATAAGTTTCACCTGAAATTGTCTGTCTTGTGGATCAATGAGGGACATCTCTTCAGGTAGATTGTCCAGCTGAAAGTCCATGATTGTCTCCTTGGGGATATACTGCCACAAATTACCCACTATTGACTCAAAAAACCAAAAAAATTAACTATAATTTCTAAGCTGGAGTCATTAAGAAACATGAATGCAAGTCTTACCAAATCATTTCGCCGCGATTTCCTGATTTTAGTGACAAAGTAAGGATTTCTTGGCCGGATAGCCAAGCCTAAATTGAAAATGTCATTACCATAAGGATCGAGAGGACGTTGACCTGGTCGACCTTAAGCAAACAATACCATCAGTAAGAAATTATAAAAACTGAAAGTTATACATCAAATCAATTGGGAAAATGGGAGTACATATATGCAGTACTTACCATTAGCCACTTGCTCCGCTCGTGCTTCACCGTCTTCTTGAGTCTCATCTTCATTGTTTTCAGTTTTGTCGTCTTCGCCATTCTCATCTTCAGCATCCTCATTTTCGTCTTCCTCGATCTCCATGTAAACTTGGGCATTGCCATCACTGTCATGAATATCCTCTTCACTGTTGTTCTCTGACTCCTTGTAAAATGGGTCTTCGTTGCGTTCAGCGTCATCGTCTTTTCTAGCTCCATCTTCATCAGTTTGTACCATTGGTAATAAATTTGACAAAATAATGAATTAATAAAATTATTTGGGAAAAATGGGCAGAAATAAATGTCGAACTTACCATCAGCCACTTGTTCCGCTTCTGGTTCAGCATTTTCTTCATTCTTATCCTCCACACTCACATTTAAATGTCCAAGACCCTCCTTATCGCAACCGGACAACCCCAACAGTTTTACATCAAATAAATTGTCCCCATCGAATCGAAACACAAAGATGTCCCCAAATTCCAAAGAGTTATGTTGAACAAATTTTTCCCAGCCATCACAAAAAAACCAGTCATTATCAATTTTGGCCATTTTCACAGGCCACAGATTTTTGTAGCAATCTCGAAGGAATGCCCTCTCTGCTAGAGCTCCTTTCAATTGTAAACTAAAGGCCATTGGAAGTTCCTACAAACAATAAGTTAAATGGAATTATATCATAGCAAAACTCTTTAAATATCGAAAAGCCAATTTCTAGTTTAATGCACGTTTTCGTAACTGTCATGAAGCTATTGTTTAGATCTTTACAAATCTAAACTCCAAAAGAATAAAATAGGAAAAAAAAATTTGCTACCATCTGAGTGGGATTTTAAAAACTCGGTGCAGGAGCAAGTTCACATCGTTTTGTGTTGATTTTATAAAAAATTTAGTGTTATCATGTAATTCAGATCAGCAGTAGCTTTAATCTCGAAGATTTTGATGTTACCTTGAAAGCATACAAAGTATATTTACCTAATTCTTGATACGGAAAGTCTTTGTGGGATAAAGTTATTTACTTTCTAACAACTTTTATTCTTCTGCTCACACTATGTGAAGGCAGAAAATAAACCAAACACCCAAATTTTCATTATACTCAACCACAACTACATATGTAAGGAATTGCTAAGCATATTAAATCCTTGTAGTAAAGACGAGACAAAAATACTTGTGGTAAAAATGAGTAAACCATAGACAGAATTTTAACTAAGAATGAAAACCAGGAACCCTAAAGAAAAAGTATAAATTTGACTAAAAAACAAAAAAACAAGAATGGAGACACAAATAAATGTATGAATACCAATCTTTGTGAGCTGGTTGTAGGAATGTAGCACTTGAAGAAGTTCGTTGTCTTAACCATCTTGATATCTTTATCTGTTTATAGCATGCAAAAACTTCAACTGGCAACTCAATATACGAAAAATCAAGGTCCAAGTAACAAAGCGTAAAAAAATTAAATCTGTGAGGAGGGGGGAAATAATTTTAAATGCAAAAAATATATTAATATGTGCCTAGTTCCCTTCAGCATTTTGAGTGTTCATCTAAGTTAATGTTTGACAAGATAATTTTAAGTTGGTCAAACACATAACAAAATACGAAAGAAAATTAAATAAACTAACAAAACGTTTATATAACATGAAATCAAGTCTGCAAGAATCAGTAATTAAATTTGCAAAAGTTGATAATTTAATGCTTTCCTCTAATAACAAGAATGTTAATTTTATTAGAAAGATTTCATCAACCATATCAGCATTTTGCCAAAAAATCAATATCAAATAAATAGAATCGGAATTTTTTTTGCAACATTTCATTCAATTATTTATGTACAAGCTAGGAAGCACACGGAACATGATCCTGCAATGCCTTAAATACAAGATCATTGCAAGGGAGCGTTTGGCATCTAGTGGTCAATGTTCGGCCATATAACCATAAATATGTGAGTGACATTAGATCGTAGCTTTTTTGGTTGATATAAAGGATGATCAACTGAATTTATTTTGATGTATTCTACAGGAAGTTCACTTGAATTGTAGGGGTACAAAAAGGTCTGAGTTCATGTATCCACAACTTTCTCGATTTGAGGAAAGAGAAAATAACTTAGCTTTAGATAGAATTTAAAATGTCATTACTAGAAGAGTTGAGATGACATTGACCTGGTCGACCTTAACCAACCAATACCATCAGTAAGAAATTACACAAACAGAAAGTTATACATCATATCAATTGGGAAAAATGGGCATAATTATATATACAGCACTTACCGTCTGCCACCTGCTCCGCTGCTGCTTCACCATGTTCTTTAGTCTCATCTTCATTGTTTTCATTGTCATCCTCTTTGCCATCCTCATATTCAGCATCTTCGCCTTCGTCTTCGTCTTCAACAATCTCCATATAAACTTCGGCATTGTCATCACTGCCATGAATGCCCTCCTCGCCATCATCCTCTGACTCCATGTAATACAGGTCTTCATTGCTTTCAACATCATCCTCTTTGCTAGCTCCATCTTAATCAGTTGGTACCATTGGTATTAAATTTGTCAAAATAATGAATTATCTAATAAAATTAATTGGGAAAAATGGGCAGAAAAGAAATGCATAACTTACCAACAGCCACTTGCTCTGCTTCTGCTCGATCATCTTCATTCTTATCCTCAACACTCATATTGAAATGCCCAAGACCCTCCTAATCGCACCGTGACACCCCTAATAGTTTGACATCAAATAAATTGTCCCCAACGAAACGGAACACAAGGACGTCTCTAGATTCCAAAGAGTTAACTTCCA